AAACCAAAATTTTATTATTTCGTTATTAAACTTAAATTAAATTATAATAAAAAATAAATTAAAAAAATTACATAAAAATAAGAATTTTTAAATATACTTGATTTGATATTAACATTGATATATATATATATTTTTAAATTTTATAATATCTTCACATTTATATTTTATTCAAAAATAAAATCATTAGTGCTTTATTAAAACACATAAAATCGTATCATAACATCGACAGAGGCAAATAATAAAATAGAAACATTAAAATCGAGATGTGTCTCGCTGTATTGCGCGAGTACTCTTCTAGTATTCTTTAATTTATTATCCCAATATATCAAAAGACTTTAAAAAAAATAATTCAATTTCTTTAGTGGAATTGAATAAAATAATCATTTTTCTTTTTCACCGTTAAGTTTTAGAGAATTCTCTATATTTAAAGTTTTTTTTCCATAATTCTTTATTTTAGATAACAAGATAACAAAGTTGTTGAAACATTTTAGAGAACACATTTCTTTTTCTATTTTAAAAAAACTGCTGGAGATGCTTTAAGTATATAATTTCAGAGTTATATAATCATTTATATTGCTAAAATTAATATAAGGAAATAGTGGAAGTAACATATCAAGGAGGTCGTGAAAAAATCAATTGAAATTGGACACGATAGTTTTAAGTATTTTCGGAGACCGACGTTGATGGCTATGGATCGAGCCTTCGAGAATCACTTACTTTGATTAAGAAAAAAAAAATATTACAAATTTTACGTACCTAGACTTGAACCTAAAACCTCTTTTTCCTCCGAGATGACTCTTACCAGTATTCTACACCTTTCATTTGTTTCATTTAACTAAAGTTGTTGCAAACATCTAATCAATGATGACTCCGGAGGAGAAGTAACGCCATGTTAATGTGCCTTGGATGGTCCACGCCTCAGGGTCAGGCGCCAATGTACCTTTTGAGAGTCGTAATTGTTTCATTATGTTAGCATAATAAAGTGGTGACACATACCACTGTATGCCCTTACAAGGTCCGCCCATGTTCGATGGTAATTGTTAAGACCAAATATATCGCACCCAATTTTCTAAATTACGAATTATGATAGCGAGACGTTGCTTTGACGCCAAGTTATGGCTTGTGGCACGGTTGTAAGGTGTGGCTTGTGATAAGATGGGTTATGAGGTGCCATGGCGTCCGACATGAGGAGTGTTATGGTGAGGGGCTGTTTTCTTTCGATATTTTTATATACAATTTAGAGTTATTATAGTTTTTAATTATGTATGGAACGGTAGGACTTGTTTGAACAGTAGGACTATATAGGGATGATTTTGAGTCGGACGACGAACTACTAGTTGAAGGTGATATTACTACTGGTGCTCAAAAAACTGATCAACTCGACCAACCTGGCCAACTCAACCCGAAAAAATCAACCCGAGGTAATCCACCATATAATCGATACAAAATTAGGTCAAACAGAATCTATGGGTTGACATTGGGTTAGGCACAAAGTAACACAACAACTCGATAACCCGATAAAAGTTTTAGCAGCTTCTTTAAAATTATTTGTATTTCTCTTTAATATGTATAGATTACCAAAGACGACTCAACATCAACGAACAATGAAACTCGTAAGAGGACATTATCGGAAAGTTATTTGTATCACCTAAATATTTGATAAATTCATATCTTCTCTCGAATGATTGATCGTATTTGAAAGGAATGTTTCATTTATTTTTATGTTCCCAATATTGATTTTACTTTGGTTAAACACAACCTGAGCAACCCTGACCAAAACGACCAACCCGAACGTGTTGAGTTGGGTTGAAAATTTTCAAACCGCTAACATTGAGTTAAGTTATTCAAATGTCTTTAACCCGATCAATCCAACTCATGTGCACTCCTAAATATTAGATTAAATTAGAGATCATTGGATTATGGAACGGTGAACCATTACTAAAACATTTTTTTTGTCATGTTTGGATATCATTTTTTTTCTAAACTCTTTATATCAGTATATTAATATCAATCTTTGATTCTATATTTTATAGTTTAACACAATGACACGCACATATACATATACTATATACGAGTTTGTCATCTTAAGACACACATTGAAAAACGCCATAACTTGTAAGGTTTAAGACTGACCTCACCACCATGCGACCCACACCACACCTTACGCCATTTAAAACTTTTATCACACCCACCCGACCCTACTTTAAGTGGAATATATGGGATTTGTTTGATTTGGTTATAAATTCACACCATTGCCATAGAGGTATTTGGAATTATCTATGTTCAAATTTACATATAATAAGACTTTAGGGACCATATTAGCCAGATCCATAACTTCAGGGACTGTAATATCCAACTCGATAACATTAGGGATTAGAGAAGATAACTCAATAAAACTAGGGACCATAGTAGCCAACTTGATAAACTATGGTGGTCAAAGTAAGCGTTTCCAGAACCCATCATCACTAAAACGAATCCCCGTCCCCTTCAAAACCCCTGTCTTTGCGCCGACGATCAATGCTCGAAACCTGAAACCTTCACCGGCGAAAACTTCCAGTTCCTCCTCGAGTAGCTCCGGAGACAGATTATACAAGTATATACACACAGGTAGACTTGTTAGAAGAAAGGAATGGGAGGAGGCGAAGGAAAAGAAGGAGATTGGGAGTGCGGTGGATGTGGAAACAGAAACTATGCCTTCAGATCGTTCTGTAACCGGTGTAAGCAGCCTCGATTGCTCGTTGATACCAAAACTCCTGCCGATTCTAAGTGGCTTCCTCGGATTGGCGATTGGATCTGCACTGGTACATTTCTTTCACGATTTTTTCGAGTGGGTTGTTTTTCTGATGAGTTTGGTTTGTGTATTTTTAGTTAGGAAGAGTATGTGTATGAAATTGAAGGTTATAAACGGATGCTTAATCACGATGCTGGATTATCAAAATTATATTAGTGTAAAGCTTGTTCATAGTGGTTGCAAGTTTGAAAAATGATTTGCTTATGATGATGATGGTGGTGGGAAAAAGTTAGGGGATGTGGAAATTTCGAATGTGGCAAGTAATAAGTCAATCAATTTGTGCCTAGATTCTATATCTTAAGTTAGGACTCAGAAACATGTGGATGGAACATGGCAATAAGACTAGGAAGAAAAAGCGACTCAAATTGTGTTCTTTCTTTATTCCTTAGCCGCATGTCACATAGTTTATCTGCATAAAGCTAGGTAACCTCCTATATCAAAGTACCCTCTCTATTCTTATAAGAAATATTCTTTCGATTTGTGGTACTTTTCAACGGTGTATGGGATCTTGTACTAGTTTGTCAGTTATAACCCACATATGGTACAAGTAAACTTTAATTTAGTTATCGGTCTTTCACAAAAAGTTAGGAATCACCACACGAATTTTTATTTTATTAGATGACTTGTTTGTGTATTCAAAATTGATACACATCTCCTTCTATGGCATTGTGGACCATGGATCGCTATGTCAACATTAAGTATAAATTTCAGTTCACTCGATGCAGTAGAATGCTTGGGATCAATTGTTGATGCTACTAGTCTACTATTCAATTCCTACTGGTTTGTCCTCCTACCGGCGATTAGCAATTGTGGTCATATAGTCATATTTCAGAAGTCAAAGGTTATCCTGATTCACACTCTTAGAGCTGTATCCCCACCCTCTTAAGGACTTATTCCTTCATTCCTTGTATGGGGCTTTGTGTTCTGAATCTCCAGTTGAAGGTTGATCGTATAACCATGATTCCTGGAGACTAGTTCATTTGTTTCTGTTTTTATTTAAACCTTTTTGTTGTTTTTTGTTTTTGTGATTTTGTCATGTATATTTTAATTAACAAACACATCATTTAACCATTGTGAATGGTTAAACCCAGGACATGAAGATGATGTTGTGTAATTTGCACCCTGCACTGCATGGTAGATAGGAGTAATAAGAAAATTGCATGTCCAACCTGTTGAGGTTGATGCATATTTTATATCATTTTAGTAATTAGGATAAGAATAAGTGGTTAACAGAAATAATTTGTGTTCAAAAGTGTGATAATTGGTAGGCCTGTGACCTTATGTGGATTTACCAGTGTTCACAGTCCCAGTTGATTAAAAGATACACTTGCCCCATGCTTAACTATGGTTGTAGGAGCAATCTTTAATTTGGTTTAATGCACTTCCAATGCCTCTAAAAGCCATACATACATGGAGACTGTTGTATCAACTCAGTCACTGGACCCTGTGTAGTGAATGTTCACTTTAGACTGAGCAACAGTGGAAAATTTTCCACTGTTTTCAAATGGATCCTACTTACTCATTAGTCTTTACTATTTAATGAGAGTAATATGTGAATGTGTAATGTTGTAAGTTGTAACTTTGTGTTCTATGGTACATGTAAACTCTATACTTCATTTTGGTAGTTTTATGTTTTGGTATGACTATTTGAGGTGGTTAAAGGTTATAACTATATGAAGTATGCCGTTTAACATAACACTGACAACCACTGAACGGTGTGCCTGAGCCTTTTGGTTGTTTGACCATGTTTTTTGAACTTTGCGTGATACTCCCTTTTTTGCGAACTCTGTGGTCAAAATGACCTTATTTTTTTATACAAAATAATGAGGCAAAATGACAATTTTAACTTTATACATCATTTTTTAGAGCGTTTGTGTTGTCAATAAAATTCAACCATATTAAACCTCCTTCACTTGATAGTAAAATTTTCTTCTGTGAATGAGTAGTTAGTGTTATAAAATCGACATGATTTATCATGTTTTCAAAATTCAAATAAAATCTGAATGAATGCAATTTTTGTTTTTTATTGGTGTAGATAATAAATATGAATCTAAACCAGCAATTTCTGTCCTTCAGATCCCAGATTGACAAGCACATTTTTAACATTATTGAGCATGTACTTCATTTATTTGGGATGGAGGGGACTTCTATTCTCATTGGTGAAATTGCAAGCAATGAACTTCTGGTTATTAATGTAGCTTGCTTGTCAAAATATATCGATTTTTTTATTTAACTTAAAAAAATGCAATCATTCAGGTTGAGTTGTTTGTGTTTTTGTGTGTGTGTTTGGTATGTGATGGGCTGGTTGGCGTGCGTAACCTTGGGTTTCTCTTTCCTCTATCTGGCTGCGTTGTGGGTTGGTGTGTGTGGCGATGGATCAAAATAGGCTGCACTAACAACAATTATGCCTCGCGAGAAAAGTGCAAAAAGTGCGGACAACCGAAGGAGGTAGCAGCTATGCCAGCACTTGCAATGCCTGGGGCTTCTCTGCAAACTCATCCACATTATTTTGCCAGGGTACAAGGACTACAGCACCAAAGGTTGAATCTGGGAGTGGGATCGCTTGGCAATGGAGCTCTTCAACAGTCCCTACCTTTGAGCTCTAATTGGCTTTTAGGAGGCCCTGATAGATTTGGAATTCAACCAGCTTCTACTTGGCCTTTGGGTGGAAATCCCACAAACACAGTTCCATATGCAAACCAAGTCAGCCAGGTTATGGTTCCAAAAGGGTGGCGCAACGGTGACTGGATCTGCACCTGTGGTTTCCATAACTATTCTTCTCGTGCACAGGTATGAAAGTTTAGATTCCTTACCAACGTAACACGTATGGCTTACTATTGCTGTTATTATCCATCTGATTTAGCTTATCTTGAATTTACAGTGCAAAAAATGCAATGCTTCCATGCCTCCAGGTAATATTATAACAACGTATTTTCTTTGACTATTTTCTTATACCAAGCCGACAGTGGATATTTAGTTAATGCAATTGAAATGGTCGGATGTGACTTACCACAGAAATGCTTTAAAGTTTAAACAATATGATGCAGCTTAATGTTGGTTGATTAGAACTTTGTGGTTTTTGTATGTTAGTGACCTCGTATCTAGCATGCATCACTTACCGCTTATTATATTTACTTATTTATCCTAAAGCTCTGGGAACGAAAAGGTTGGCATCTGAAGAACTTGTTCAAGATTGGGATAACAAACGACTGAATGCTGGGCAGGTAATGTACAACTTTATGAGACGCAATTTAAAATTTGTTTTTGCAGTTTTGGTGAGATATTTTATCCTCCAAAGTTTCAATATGCAGACAATGGGGCTGCAGCAATCATATCCAACACTTGGGCAGATATCAAGTTCCTCATATTCAGCACCTGGTCATATGGCAAGCTCTTCTGCTAATCAAACAGCTGGTCTCTATCAGTCCTATCCCAATGGCAGCTCATCAGCAATGCAACATTTGCAACTCAGCCTGCAGTTGCCTCAGATAGTGATGATGCCAACACTTCCAGGAAAAGGGTAAATTTTGACTGAAGCCCTCTTTTCTCCAAATGTCCACTTCATATGAAATTTATCATAAATCTACATGCTGAAGCATATTCATTCCTAAAATGACAGTTATGTCAGCGATTATTTCTTTGCCCAAGACAGTAGTTATAAAATTTAACCCCTTGAAGAAATGACATATGAAGTTAAAACAAAAATTAAATGTTTCAAAACTGCCCAAGTGATGAGTTTGAGGTTTTACTAATGTCTATTTAGTTGAACAAGTGATTTATATCGGATATGAAGTATGTATGCAATAATCTGGGTTTAATGTGTGCTTTCAAGAGTCGGTCTTCTAACACTTGATATGATCAGGGCAAAACAATGGCGTGATGGGGATTGGATGTGCACGAATTGTAACAATCACAACTATGCATCTCGATCCCATTGCAATAAGTAAGTATACATTTAGAATTTCATCCTTTTCTTGTGGCCAACTATTTGCTACTTAATTAAATATGCGCGAGTACGACATAAACATAATACCCCTTAACTACTTCCACTTGAAAGCATTTCAGATTAGTTTGCGAGTAATGAATGTATCACACCATATATATGCAGATGTAATACACAAAGGGAGGGGCATGTTCTTCCTGTAAGTGTTGCGTAAACAAGTAATTGGCTTCGATATGTCGAAATTTGTGGCGGCTAATTCTGCAGATTTTAGAGAAGTACTTGAAGAAAGAAAAATTGGGAAGTGGTAAGAAATGGCTTTAGTTTGATTTGTCAACATGAGTATTGTTGTATATCTCTGTATTTTCCTGAAACTCTAAAAAGAAATCGTCCTGTAATTCGTTTTCCAGAATTGCAGCATTTGACTGTTGAATGGTATTCAATCATATGATGAAATAAACTAAATGTAAAAAGTGTTATTCTTACCTGGTCTAGTTCTTAATCGGTTACGGCATAACTGGTATAGTTTTTAGCCTAAAATGTGTAACTGATATGGACCGGTATAACTGGTTTCCAAGACCTTGTCCACTTTAGTTGGTCCATTGGCCAATCGGTGAGCTTCATGTGGTATTCTTTTGAATTGGCATGCCTTAACTAGTCTTTCGTTACGGTTCTCATAATCGGTCATTTGACAAAATCTCAACTGATATCAATTTGATAAGTCGAATTGTTACAGGTTTGGGTCTTAACAGCTATCAGGCCTTCATACCCACATCTCTAGTAAATAATGATTATAACAAACAAGCAATGATGGATTTGGTAGTGTTTTTGGTTAATGTTATATATTCACGAAGGCTTGAGTTAAGGTGAGAAGTGTAAGAAGGTATTTGGACTCTTTTTATCATTTTTAATCTCAAACCAACCCATGAGTTGTGTTTTAGAAAAGAATTAATCTGGTGTTTCTTGTTAGTATTGATCCAGTGGAATTCTTCAATTAAGATTAATCGGAAGGGTGAAGATCCCTTCTTACTCTTTTTATCGGAACTCAACCCTAATTATAATTATATATATATATATATATATAATTTTATTAAATATGGTATTGTTAAACTATAGGAAATATTTTTAACAAAAGCAACTGCAAAAGTGAGTTTGTGAAGATGCCATAAAAATGCCTTCGTGGCATGTTAGTAGAAAAACCTGTGTTTTGATTTTAACTTGATTATATAACTATTCATGGACGAGACAACCTGTTTAATTTGTTCCATCTGGCCCGTTAGAAATACGGGTTTGAACAACCATTATCGAGAAAATAGACGGGTTCGGGTTTGTTCGTTAAAATTAACGGGCGAACATGGATAATGTAGAAATAAATAGGGACAGACCGGTCCAACCCGTTTATATTTTGTAATTAATATTTTTTACCATTAATTAAATTATATTAGTATATTTTCAAATTAAATTATTATTTCAAGAAGATTCGCGGCATGTCGAGCCCTGAGTATCTCCATTAAGTGATAAAAGGGTCATAGGATGAGACTCTTTGGCTAAAGAATTATGGTTCCGATCAAAACTTGGGATGTTTGAAATTGGCAGTAATATGATGGAGCCATGAAAATGTAAATAGTAATGTTATACATAAAAAACAAGAATGCATTATTGATTTTATGGAAGCCTGAATTTTGTTTTTTGTTTTTTCTTCATTTTTGTATCCATATGTCACTTTAGTTGCTTAAAATTTTAATTACAACGGTGTTTTTTCTTTACTTTTTGGTTCCATATAGATTTATAAGAGTTACACTTTTTAAGTCCGTTAGACCTTAGACAAGCCCAACCCATTTACAAGGCGGGCAATGACAAGTTGTCAAAGACGAAAAAATGGGCTTAGATTTACAATATTAGGCCCGTTGGATAAAAAAACAAGTTAGGCCCAACCCAGGTCTAGCCCACACCGAAAATGATCACCTCTCCTAAGTCTAACCAATATTATTACAAACCAATTAATTAAGATATTTAATAATGATGATGAGAGTTTGTTTCTTTTGATGATATTTATGAAAGATTATTATGGTTCGAAAGCATTATATTAGAAAATAATCAAGATATTTATGCATGAACTACTGTTTATTGATGCATATTATTTAAAATTTAATACTACAAGTAAATTATGCGTAAATACAACTTATTAAACCTCTATTTTTTTGAATTCGTGTAACTAACTGCAAATAAATATAATCAAGTACATGATAAACATCTCATTTTAAAATATAATTAGAATAGTTATTGAGTTTTTACATAATATTTTGTTATCATCCTTATAAAAATTATATTATTAAATAATAAATAAATAATTTTGTTATTAAATCTAAATTAATTTAAAATAAAATTTTGAATTAAAGAAATTAAATGAAAAACGAAAACTTTTAAATAATTAATTTAATACTAATATCAATACTTTTTCTTTTTTAAATTTATATTTCATTTAAAAATAAAAATATTATCGTTTTCTAAAAACCACATAAAACCATATTATATCAACAAAGAAAATGAATAAAATAAAAACTTTAAAATTAAGATATCTCACTGCATTACATGAATACTCTTTTAATATAAAAAATGAGTTTAATGTGATAAAACAATCCATTTTATCTTAATGCATTAAGCTAGAATTTTCTAGTCTCATGTTTCATCGAAAATTAAATATTCTACTAACAAATGTACAAATTAGCAATTATGTGTAAATTTTTTAAACATATTTAATCTATTAAGTATTATATGATAAATTTATATTCTGTATGTTATTTTAAATAATTTGTATTAAAAGATTTATCAAACAATTTTTTTAATTCAACACTTATCTAAATAAAAAGTTAAAATAGTAATTTTTGTTATTCAGACTATTTACTCATACAATAATTTATTTAAATTCAATCTCGATGTATTAATGTTTACAAGGGTGGTGTCTGATAGGTTTAAGTTTGGCTTCAAAGATTAAAAGTGTTAGGAGGTCCTAGGTTTAAATCCAAAGAAGAATAAAAATCCTTTTGTAGCCTTGGAGGTTCAAATGCGATGATTCCAAACTATCCGTAAAATAGGTGGTTATCTTGGGATTAATCGACTCACATAACAAGTTAGATATCTAGATTAATAAAAAAAATCTTATAAATGATTCGCTTACGAGTGGAAGTGGATAAATTAGTATTATTTAATTTCAGTCTTATAAAATAGTATTAATAAAATATATAGTATTATTAATAACAAGCATAGAGTTGCAGTTTGTGATTAATGATGGTGATTTGCCCCGATTCTGTGGGGAACCCGGCTCGCCCGACCCGAACGGGGATTCCCCATTAAAACGGGTTCCGGGGCCAGGACCGGGGATTCCGATAGACTCAAACTGCGGCCGGGCTAGGGCCGAGAGATGTTACTTAAACAGGGACCGGGGATCTTCGGTAGACTCAAACTAACGAATATTTTTCATGGGGTTTGGCAGGGTTTGACCGGGGACGGGATATTAAGTAAAAAACAAACACCCCGTAAATTTGTAACTTCTCGTTTTGACCGTAAAGATCATATCAACCTCATAATCCTTATGATCATGTTTCACTTGGGATTTTGAGACAATCAATTTCATGGTTTCATGGACGTATTAAAACATGTAAAATACATAGTATAATATTGCTAGCTAGCATCCATGTTAGAATCTGTACACGTACAAAAATATGTTTACGTGCATAGTATTGAAAGACTGAAACATATGATCCTTGTTCAAGATGCTAATATGATTTAAAACATATAAAATACATAGCATACATATATATCTCCATTGTTAAAAGTTACAAGTCTCATGAAAACTCGTCTCTTAATATTAGTCTGGCATCTGATCATGCATTAATACCTACACACATCACACTACATGTACTAAAGTAAACGGCTAACCATTACACATGACATCGACATCAACATCAACGACACCAAGAATTGATCCACTTTTGCTTAACCAACTTCAATATGGTTGTGTCATTCCTACAATGTCATGATAGTCTTGCACGGTCGTGCCAAATGTTTCATAAATTTCACAAGATTGTGTCAAAATCGTTATGGCTGAGTCAATTCCCTTTTAAACTCTGCACGACCATGTTAAAACTAAAGCACACCCTACACGACCTTGCAAAATTATGATTCCAGGTTTCGGTTTTCAAATGGTCACCATCAAAACTCCAAATCACTCAAATATTACACTTACATCTAACTTATATATGCATTTAAGCACACAAAACGATATTGATAAAAACATATGACTTCTGATTTCTTCTCTATTTTCCAAAAATAATGTAATATCATCATTATTACTAAATAAACAGTATTTCGACCTCAGATCCTACTCTGTAACATATTAATCCTTTGTATCACAGGCCATGCTTTAAATCTTACCTTAATTAACCATACTATTTGTACTTCCTAACTTGTCCTTGTGTTGTCTTTTACTTCAAGAACTCACTCAGAATCTCACCAAGAACTCCAATAAATGGTTGTCTTGCTTTTGGTTTCTTTGCAAAGCAATACAGAAAATTTTAGCCTTTTGATTTCCTGACGAAATGCAATGATGATGTGATTTAGCGACGACATGTTTCAGCAAGAAGCTATTATCGTTTCTGATGATAGATTGACTTTTAGTGACGACATACGTTGTTGCTAAACCCCTATTTCCTACGGTGACATCTTTATCCAACGGGTTTGAATTATTTTTGAGCCGAGTCCTCCACATCTTCCAATTAATGGCGCTTAGGTGCTATAACTCAAATTTTCATATGTTACTACATATAGTCCCTCCAATTGATTGCCACATATTACCCATTTTTTGGGTATTATATTACTATTTACCATCTTTTTTTAAAAGTATATAATATGTTTTATATACGACAAATGCAACAAAATAAACTTACGCACCCTCCTCACCATTGGTGAAATTTGAACATCTGACTTCCTATGAGACAAAGGCTCATATATCATTTATCATCTTATCGTAAGTGTTGGTTGTTAAACAAACTCTCTGCAAGAGAAGTTTGACATGCGTACGTGCATGCGTGTGTGTGTGGGGTTTATTTAACATATTGCGTATATGGGAAAGTCTTTTTATTCTCACACCTAGTGTTAATAGAATGTAAAACAAAGTTTGTTAATAATTGCTCTACAATAAATTTGGTGTTATAGGACGTTTAAATTGTCTAAACGTTGTAATAGAATATTTTATTGAACTTAAGTTTATAGGATCAAACTATAAAACATAATATTAGCTATTTTATAGGACAATTTTAAGAAAAGTTCTAAAAATAAACTCATCTTTTACAAGGCATTTGTGTTTATATGACACTTTTTTTAAATAGTGTTGTATAAAATAGTTAATACGACATTTATTTTCAAAACATCCTAAAAACTTCTTAATAATACGCCTAAAAGTCTCCTACAAACCTATTGTAACACTTTTATAAATGACACTTTTTGGTTTTTATAACTATAAAATGTTTTTTTAAGACGCTTTTATATTTTAGACGTTTTATAATATCAATTTAGTCGTTGCGAAGAAATTGACAAGTAAGGTATACGGTACGTAATTAATTTGTATAAAACGTCTTTAACTAATAAGACGTTGATTGGTGTATCGTTTACCCTTTTAATTCCAAAATAAACAAGGGTAATTAGTTCAATACGTTATAATTTTGCCCTTCAAGTTGACCATCTCCAATTAATTAAACTTAAAATCATGATAAATGTTATAATTAGTAACTCATAATTTGGGCCTTATAACCTCACAAATCTCATAATATTCATTTGTGACGGTAACTCCCACTCTACTTAAATTCCAGACATTCTCGTCATACCTATCAAACATCCTTTGTTTATCGACAATCTATGATTCATCTAAAATGTTACACGGTATATATACGTATACGTAAAAACCCTGATACTACTTGTAACGTTCCAACCCTAAAGCAACATGTTAATCCAATGACTTCCATTGTGTACAAATCAACTTAGCATATTATATGGAAGGCCCAAAATTAGAATTTATAAGAGCTCAAAAATCACATTTTCATCCTTTTTGTAATGAACTAGAAAGTTCTTTTGATCAGTTGGATTATATATCATTGATTTTCAAGCTACCCCCATTACAATGTTCGCATAAATCTTTGAAGAGGTACGCAGATACAACAGATTGTAGATCGTTCGAGATTTTGAAGATCTTCACCTCTCGAATCACAATCCCATCAACCGCGTTCTCCATCCGAATGATCTCACATCAGTAGCACAATATATTGGTTCGATGTGGTGTATCATGTCTTCAATTATATATATTATGGACATCTTAATTAATCGCATAAACATTATATATGTTCATAAGGTTTTCTTTGACAATTACATCTTCAACTTATTTTTATAAAGAACCGGTAGGATAAAAGTTTGTTACTCAATATCTTTGATTAATCATCATGTAGGTCGGTTGGGTTGGTTTCGTGAGACCATTTTTTATACTTGAAACTTCACAGCAAAAACACTGTGAAAGTTATCTTCACAGTGTTTTGCTGTGAAGTTTCAAGTGTAGAAAAGTACTCTCAGGTGTCTCACGAAAACAGGTCGGTCTTAGGTGATCTCAAGTCACATGTAAGTTGTTAAAGGTATATATCAAATCAAATGGTGAATTGATATGGACGGTGTTAAAGACGAAACATATGCAATATAATTAAAGGGTTAACATCCATATAGAAATTAATCGGAAATCAGTCATAAGTAGGACATGATATTTGCTACTACTTAATTACATAATTACCTAATTAATTGATATTGATAATATATGTAATATATAATCAGTTATAATATCCATATGAGTTAAGACTGAGCTCAAGGGAAGCCCGGCCATCGGAGCGGTACCAGTTTCCTCCGGTATAGTAACCTCCATCCGATGACAAATCTGCCGACTTCATGCTGAAGAAATCATGGTGGGTACCGCCATGAATTGGAAACAAAGGAAGTGTTTCAATCTGTGTTGAAGTCTCTCCTTCTTCTTGTTCTTCGTCTTGATTATGGTTCTCTAAGATGTCGTATGTTGTTGGCTTGATTGTGTCAAAGAAAGAACATGAATCGACACCAACCCGTGATCTTGATCCGAAATTCCGGCCAACTCCTCCGGTGGCCATACTCTCTTCCGGCGGTGATATTGAACACTCCTACGTACAATAATAAAAAAAACATATAAAATTACTACTTATATGTGTATGTGTATATATATATAGACTCGGTTTAAATACCAATTTTGATAAAAATGCAAGCGATTTTTTGTGTGTGTCAATGATGGGATTTGTTATTACTTATTTCGGTATATTCGAATTTTTTGTTCATTTATACAATACACTTTGTTTGATTATTTTAAAAAAATAACAAATAGAAGCATTCAAACCCTAATTATCACTCAAAATAGTGTTCACATCCCCCATGAAATTCTGATGAACATCTTTTCTGGGAGAATTTTGGAATTATTTAAGTATATAAATATCAAATGAAGTGTGTGTATGTGTATGTGTATGCGTGTGTGTGGTGTTTTTATATACCCTGAAGCTCTTCTCCATGGCAACAGATCCATAGCCACACCCAACAGCCATCACTCCTTGCGAAGAAGAAGAAGAAGAACCAACCCCTGCAAATTAAGTTTATATGCATAAAGTAAGAACACACACATATAAAGCTAGCTAGATGGTGAAATTTTGATCAGTATACGTACCAATGTGATGTGTGGTGTAGAGCTTGTGTTGGTGGCTATAGACGTGTGGTGGTTCTTGATGGTGATAGTGGGGGTGGTGAGATTGAATTTGCATAGCAGCAGCGGTGGGTAGATGGTGGTTGATATGCTGGTGAGTATGATCAGAGAAGGGAGATGGGAGGAGGGTGGTGGTGGAGGACGGTGGTGGTGGAGCAGGAGTGAACCGTTTCTTTTGCCTTTCACGAGCTTTATGGTTCTGAAACCAATAAAACACATTCTTGCCTTCAATCTTGCCGTACTGTCTGAGTTGAGCAGCGATTCTCTGGATCTGATCAGCCGTTGGTGATCTGATCCCATTGTTGTAGTAAAGTTCTTTCAGAATTCTGATCTGATCACTTGTGGGCGTCCACCTCGTACTGCTTTGCCTGCATACATAACTGCTACTGTTTTTGTTCCCTAAATCTTGAATGTCTGTTTGTTGTTGTTGTTGTTGTTGAGTTTCCATGGTGTTCTTCATGAATCAAAACAACAACATCAAAAGAAAACAGATTGAAACAAAACCCTAATCACAAAACACCCAGAAGTACACAGATTGATCTTTAGTTCTAGTTTGCATGAAGAAGATGGTGGAACTGCAGCTGCTTATATAAGCAGTAATTAAGAAAGATGGAGGATGCACATGGAAGACACACCACACAAACACAGTGTGTGTGTGTGAGAGAGAGAGAGAGAGATGATATCTGGAAGAGAAGGATTGAAGTTGACAGAGTGATGTTAAGAAAAGGGGTAAGGGACAAAAGAGGGACTAGGAAAAAGGTTGATATACACAAGGGCTTTGCTTGGGTGAAAAGCCATTTGTGAGCAGTCACTTATTTCATTACTTTATATAGGGCTCTATCCCTTGAGCTCATTATCTCAAATCCATATTAACATAATGTACACCTTCTCATGCATCATGTACTACTCCTCTTTGCATCATTATCCAAACATTAAGAATCCTACTTTGAATAAAGAAATTACCCTTTTTAGTATCTCATTTCACATGACATATACCACAGAAATTATACATCATCTATCAATACAATACTACTCATCTTTGCATCCTTTCTCGATGATGTATAATTATCCAAAAAATACTAATGTTCCGGTAGAATCATTACCGACGACGGATCATCCAGAAAATACTAATGTTCCGGTAGAATATGATGTTTTTAAAGAAAATATCAACGGATCATCTCATAAAATACTTGGATAATCTGTTACTGATTTGAACTTCCCAATAACAATTCACCCAACAACTTTTATGACGGTTTTATGACATTTTACCCCTTCTAACGACGGATAAAAAATCCGTAGGTAAAAGTATTTCATTTAATATATATATATATAGAGGGCTGGGTTCACGTGAGACCAAAGGTTTTTCGTGAGACCCATAAGATCAATTTATGTTCATTGATCAACTTTATAATTAAGCTAATGATCTATGGTCTAAAGTTGTACGGTGGCAATTTTGTGATTATTGAGAAGTTTCGTGGCAATTTTGTGATTATGAATGTTCAGCTTGTAGATCTAATCCAAGAGTTGAGAATTGGTCTTACGGGTCTCACGAAAAATCTTTGGTCTCACATGATCCCAAGTATATATATATATATATATATATATATATATATATATAGCATCAAAAACACATTTTCTACAATGGAAGCTTTATTCGGTTGTTGGTTGGCCTTCTTACACAATTCTTTTGGATTTTCGAAAGTATTCAAGATTGTAAGATTTGAAATTATATTTGCAGCCTTAAAGAGAGATGCTGAATGAGTGGAATGAATGCTACAAAATCATACGTGGCTATATTATTTGTACCATTTTTTATGGAAATTAAATTTTAAAACAAATGTCTTCTTTTGATTTACTTTCGTTGTCCACTGCTTCGTTATACCGTCGTAGTCGTAGTCGTAGGCTAAAAAATATCGGTTCGTGAAAAGTGTCGTATTGTTCCGTTCTACGTAACCGTATATATTTTAAAATTATAATTATAAAATAATTGATTTTTTTGGTAGAATTAGTTTTTTTTTTTTTTTTTTTGCAAGAAAATGTGTAACATGTTAATTGGTCGTTTATCTAATATCAAAGTCTAAAACTATTTGTCTAGAAAACCTTAATATATATTCTCTATCGTGCATCCCTCACGAGTTTTTTGATTATCCCATCCACATAAATTCTATTTTTATATTATATAATAGATTTTTTTTGTTATTAACTAAGAAAAATTATAATATTGTTTATTCATACATTACTTAATATTGTGTGAATTGAATCTTAAGTATTCTCCTATCTTTATAACACGCATAAATCACAAGCTATAACCAACATGGGCTTACTCTAAGGAGCTGTTTACCAAATGCTTACTCGGGTAAGCGCTTATCAAATCACATTTTCTTACCGGATGAATATGACAAGGATCAAGAATCTTACCTGGTAAGAGCGAAGACACGAACCGAGAGTCTTATCCGGTAAGTGATGACGACAACTCTTACCACGGTCAGCGCTTACCGGGTAAATTGTTACATACGATGTCGTTTGGTAGACTAAAATCTTGCCCGATCAATAAGACATAGAGTTGAATTTTACCGTTAAGCGCTTACCGGGTAAGTGTTCAGGTAAACAACCCCTAAGATCGATGGTTTTGAAAAAATTTGATTTAACCCTAAAAGTTTAAAACGGTGATAAAAAAACATTAACATGAGATGAGATAGAAACACAATTGATTTATATTGATTTACATAGAGTGTTACTTTGATAGTCAATTTATATATGACTTCAAATGATGTCAAACTATACCTTAAAAATATAACAGTGGAGTAATGGCAATGTTGTAAATTGAGGGAATATGGGATTACGTTAGCTATGGTAAAGGGCGAATCAGAAAGCAGTGATTCAATGGTCCACAATATACATGTATAGATGGATGGATGGATGAAGGTCTTTGATTGGTCACAACTCAAAACACCCTCCTCTTATTTAATTCATCCTTTCTTTAAATAAATTTCTATTTTTTATTTCTATTTTTATTTTTATCTAATATAAAATTATAACAGTTATAATTAATAATTGTATTTGCGTTTGCATCTGCATCTGCAATGACTCTAAACCATTCATAATCATTCAAAAGAATTAATCGACACATCAAAATCGCTACAACAAAATCCGGTTTATAGGACACTCCTAATTTCTAAGCATCCTAATATATCTCTTTATAAGACTTAGTTTATAGGACCAAAAAAATAAAATGTCCTATCTAAAGGCGTTGTAATAAGTTTATATGACGTTTTTTAATGTCGTAATAAGTTTTTTATGACACTTTTAATATAAAGCGTCACATTAGTAATTTTGTATGACACTATTTAAAAAATTGTTCTATAAAAACAAATGTTCTATAAAAAATTGAGTTTATAGGACAATTTCTCAAAAGTGTCCTATAATGTTGCTAATGCGACACTTTGTATTAAAAATATACTAAAAACTTATTAAGATGCTCAAAAGCGTCATATAAACTTATTACAACACCTTTAGATATGACGTTTTATATTTTGTTCCTATAAATTAAGTTCTATAAAGCGGTCTATTGGGACGCTTAGAGATTGAAGGTGTCCTATAGACTCAATTTTGTTGTACTTAATTGACCTAAAAACCTACAGTTAAAGAAAAATATTGTTACAGTATTTCAAATACTAAACAAAAAGTGGAACTAAATATATTTTACGCGTACTAAAGAAAATAAAAAGTGTTACATTTACTGCAATTTTTTTATAAAAAAAAAATGAAAATTGGATCATAGAAATTGTTTTTTTATTGTGTTTGAAACAAACCTTAAAAAACCAAAATAAAAACGGTATCAAACGCTTTATTATTTTCATTATTAAAAAACTGAACTATATATTCCTAAATTAAAACGACACATATATAATTATAGTTTTTTTTAAAAAAATTAGTCAATAACATATAAATGGTAACCAAATGGCCTTTGGTCTAGCGGTATGTGAGTCATTGGCCTTTTAGAAGGTCAAGGGTTCAAACCTCACCAAAGGTGAGGATGAGGGTATGAGTTTATTTGTTCTATTTGCCGTATATAAATATTATATACTTCAAAAAAAACATATAAATGGTAAATGTCTAGATCTCACGAAAACATATCTTGTAGAGCATCTACGATAAAGGTTTCTGTTGAGATTTCTTTTGGGTTTTTTATGAGAACTTTTATTATGGGATAGAGATTTTTGTCTAGTCACATGTTTTAATTAGAACGTAGGTGCAGTTTGAACAAGAACCCAGATTCTTATATACATTTTTTTTTTGTTATTGTTCTTATTATTTCTTAACCATTTTATTTTCTTTTAAACAATCTATAAAACATATAAGATAAAAATGATATAAAAAATATAAATTAATATTTTTTTTTAATTTTATCTTATTTTTTGTTTCTTGTAAATTTTTATATTAATAAGTTTAAATTTGAATTATCTCAGTATATTATAATGTTTAGATTATTTTTCATATTTCTATACTATATTATAAAGCATTTGACAAAACTCTTAAAAATTATTTTTTATACGTAAAGTACTCTTTATTAATGCATATTACTTAAAACTCAAGATTGCAAGTAGATTGTACGTAAATACAACTTATTAAAGCTCCATATTTCAATTTGTGTAACTAACTACAGATAAACATAATCAAATACAGGATAAACATCTCATTTTAAATATAAAAAATCTAAAATATAATTAGGATAATCATCGAGTTCTAACAGAATATTTAATTATTAATAAAATTTATATTATTAAACTAAAAATAAATTATTTTATTATTAAACTTAAATTAAATTATAATAAAAAAATAAATTAAAGA